AAGCACTCGGGAAATACGGGCAGGTGAGGACAGGAGAACGGAAGCGAAGGGGGGTCAGACCAGGTGGAGAGAGGAGACGAAGCACCACGGGAGACCCGGGGCAGGTGAGGACAGGAGAAAGGAAGCGATGGGGGGTCTGTGACGGGTGACCGGCAAAAGGAAGGAGGCGAAGGATGTGGGAAGCGAGGAGGCTGTCAGCAGGAGAAATCCGCTGTTCAAGTTGAAATTGGGTAGCACCTTAATCAGAGAAGATTCCACCAGTCTGCTGGCTTGGACATCAGTGGAAGGGAAGAGAATGCGTGCTTCTTTCCAGTTCATCTGATGGCCGGTGTCCCACTGATGGCAGAAGAGGGCGTTGTTGCTCTGTCCCCTGGATACAGCGTATTTATGCTGAGACAGACGCTTGGTTAGACTGGCGCCGGTTTCACCAAAATACTGCTTATCACAGGAGGCACACGGGACAGCATAGGTGCCCACCTTCGAGGTAGAGGGAGGGCAAGTGTGAACCAGGTTGCGACGGAGAGTATTCACCTGGCGAAAGGAGAGTCTGCAGGGGCCGACGGAGAGAGTAGTGTAGCGTACGTGATGTACTCCCACTTTGTTTGCGAAAGTCCAGACGAGGCGCGTCCCCCCTATCAACAGCGTAGCACCTTGGTTCAGCACCATCTGTGGACGTTCTCACCAGCCACTAGGAGCATTTTTATTTGTTTTGTTTTATTTACACATTTTAGCTTTCTTTTAACGGCCTCGGGTATCTGTTAATTTTAAATGGTTAAATAAGTTTCATTTTTTTATCTTTTATTTTAATTCATATTATTTAAGCCTCTGCGACAAGACACACGAGTTGAAAAAAGCCACACTTTTTTCCCGCGTATCACTCGCTTGGGTGGTTCGCTTGTCCGAGTAGGAGTGTGTGGTTCACTGGGCGCCCGGCCTCACCGGACGCCTCCTTGGTGTATTTTCTTTGAGACCTACGAGAGACAGATAAGCATATTTCCATTCTTTGTAAGAGGCCAGATAGGATGTGATATATGTATTGTACACTTTTGAGAATATACAGACTGAGGGGATCTTAGGATTCTTTTTTTATTCGTTGGTTTCGTTTTATCCTTGGTTTGTTTTTTTTTACTTTTTTATTGTTTTATTTGGTTTTAAAAGAAGGATGGACACATTTGATCTTGGTGAAATTAAATTGATAAAATGGTAAAAGGAAATGACCACTGACAAGTAACAGAAGAGAATGGAAAAAGTAAATGATAACGATCTAAAGATAATTTAATAGTAAGTCCTGTACTTACGGGGTTAAAGGGCTTCAGGGTTGTGATGGATGAGTCATGCTGCAGTACACGCCTGCTACCACTTTTTTAAACAGCTACCCTGTCTGTAAATTGCACTCTGCAAGACCCGCGTTGTAGTTTGAAAGTGTCTCAGCTGGGGTAAACACTGCAGTAGATCTCCTCAGTGTAAGGCAGGCTGAGGACAGGCTGGTGAGGAGTCTCATTGGGAGGGGAGTCATGGTAGAAGGTACGCCGCGCCCTGGATAACGCGACGTCAAGGACATAGCGAGGGTAGCCCTGTTTGGAGAACGAACGACGAAGGAAACTTGACCTGATCCTCCTTCCTTCCATTCTCCTGTCCTCACCTGCCCGTGTTCCCCGAGTGCTTCTCCTCCCTTCCCTTTTATACCTATTCCTATCCCTTTCCTCCTAGCCTCCAGGCTAGTACAGGGGTAACGTGCCGTCCTCTCATCCGAGGGGTAGGCGGTTCGCGCCCCGCCCAGGCGCGAGAAGTTGCAATTGTCGCTCGGAGGTTACTGCTGTGGCTGGGCACCACGATGGGTAAGGACTAAGCTCTGTCGCGTCAGCACTAGCTGACACACGTTGATCAACTCGACATTAGTCGGTACAGGCCGGGCTCCCCCATAGCCCGGGCGAGGCTCAGCTTCGCATATCGGACTTATCCTTATCCTTATCCGTTCCTCCTGACCGAAGATGGAATCGAGGACGATGCAGCTAAGCGCCCATATCTTGGAAATCATCTGGGTGTAGGTCGATATTCATTTTTTCTTGTCCTCATAAATTGCCAATTATATATAAAAATGCATAGCATTATCATGATTAGTGTTATCGACATATTCATAACCTCTTTTGTTATTACTGGCTCTGTTATATGATGTTTTTTTTTTGTTTTTTGTTTTACTTTTTGCATCCTATTTCTCATGTTTTCATAATCATCAATATTCTCAATATGTATACACATTGTCATAGAAGTAATATTTAAGCAGTAACATGAAAGAGCCTTGTTACTTGATTACTTTTTACTACTGTCGACGATATTGCGATTGCAATTGTTGGGATCATTCTACTAGTTAACGCTACCATTATTTTACACGTCTAACAATTTTATCAATGCTTCTAATCATTATCATATAGCCACATCAAAATATTGACCATGTCCTGATAGTATGCAATTGAAAAAAGAAATGAAAATTAAAAGTTGA